GTGAAACGAGAGTTTAGTATATCTGAATATATCTTACAGGGAATGGAAAGTAGTGATATACCACGATAGCCAAGGGGATCTCTGGGGTCACTACCCGGTTTCTTAATAGGCGTTATTATACTTTCATGCCAAATATCTGGACAAACATTATTCTCGAAGCAGTAAGTAAATATCCGGTGCAGAATGTCAACACAAGTCTCATTCTTAAGTGCATCTGCAGGTATATGGTCACAGCCTACGGCCTTACCACACTTAGAGCGGCTAACAGAGCGTACTACCTCATCGCGTGATATAGGGGCCTGCAGACTGTTTACATCTACATCTACCTGAGGGGGGTCAACAACCATGTTGCTTAACTCGTCCTTGATCTGATCATAGAAAGATTCATCAAATACACCCACTGGATCAGCGTTAAACAACGAGCTATACTCACATTTCCATGCATCTAAAACCCGCGACTTATCGGTGACAACCGTGTCTCCCTGGATTATCTCCCATGGAATGACAGAATCCCGATCGGAAGCTAAGCCAATCTTACCAATAAGTTTCCAAAAATCTCTGCTATTACTATCTTTGTATTTATGCAACAGTCGCTGCTTACGTTCTAACTGAAAGGAGCGTTTGAATTTTCTATGCAGCTTATCAAAAGATTTACGATTAGAGACAAAGACGTGTTTTAATGCCCGTTTCTGAGAGACATTCTTACATCTGAGCCATAGACGTTCACTATCAACTACTAGGTCCCAGGCAGACTGAAGCTCTGCACACCAATAAGGTTTACGGAGGGATTTCTTGTTAGACGTTTTCGTTTTATTTTCATACGTGCCAACTTTACTGTCTAGCTCAGAGTATAAACAAGTTAAGAACTCCTCATATGCAGCATTAACATCTTGTTGTACCGATAAATTAAACTCAATTCTACGGATAGTATCAGAGACAAGTGTTGTACTCGTATCGTCAAAAAGATTGTCATCAATCCCACTTTGTTTATATCTCTTACGGCTATAGTAATCAGGTAAAGGTTCATCACACCGAGGACTACTGACCTCATTAGGAATCCTCACATCACAAGTAATAACAGAGTGATCAGGGATAACATCAGGGACAGACGAGGCGTCAACAAAGCTTGTCATTCTAGTGACATTAAAATCAGTAAACAAAGGTAAGTTCTCATGTGAGGTCACAATATAGTCTACGATCGAACATCCATTTTTAACATATGTATAGTCATGATTTCCAATACGGCCATTTAACATACATAGATTGCAGTTAATGAGAAAATCTAAAAATAGAGAACCATGAGAATTATCGGTATGGTCTATGACATCTCTGTCGGGCACCTCGTCTACCCCGGCTATATAGTCTCTTTGTGACCCCATCCGTGCATTAAAGTCCCCACAAATAATTGTGAAACCTTCATTTTGATACAAATAATACTTTTCAAGCAATGTTTCGAAAAAAGTTTCAGCATCGCTTAGCCATCATGAGCATCGATCTATGTAATTTGATAACATGCATCAGCGAGCCTGGGCACCCGATCCCTCAGCGATGACGGGATATAAAGGGGCCATCTCTCAAGTGAAATGAACATTTCACAGCCAATCTAACAAAATGCACTCGCACCATATAAATATGTGACACCCATTTTTGTGTCCCCGAAGAGATATTGCTAAAACATTGTCAAGAGCGTCGTAAAACCATTCATAAGGAACATATGTAACAGAATACTGTTTACTCATGATAGGAGTATCCCACTCTAATCCACGTGACTCGTCATTTCGATGTCATATCACCTAAGTATGACAAACACGAAAACTATTTGTTTTTTATTATATCTTCACAATTCGTTTAACTTGACGTTTCTATGCAATCTTGGATGCTTGAAGCTATTTCACTTGAAACTGTATAAGACATAGCCACGTGCCATCTGTTCATAAATATGCTGAAGTTAAGCAACGTTTGTCGTGGGGCGTTCTTGGATGGGTGATCGGGTCCGGCAGCTTGGCTTCTGAGTTTCGGTCCAGCCCCACACTTAAGCACATGTAGCACTTTTGGGCAAGTGACTTATTTGAAATAAGCCTCTGTTCACCTAGCACTATTAACCTTCTTGCGCCTAAGGCAGCTTGTTTTGTATACTTCCCAGGGAGTGAAGAATAAAAAAGTCGATAATTTACATGCCGGTATGTGACAGGCGTTAAACATCATTACAGCTAAAATGGATATAATTATCAAAAAACGGAACGCTGTATCTTGATAATGCCCCCCGAGCGACTGGCCATTATCAATCACGTTACTCAATGACGTTCACTCAGTGTTCTGATCCTCTCCCTGGCAGGTCACTGTATAAACAGCTGCACTCACATTTGCTCACAAAACTGTTTCTCTCCGATGTCAAAATGCAAGGTCGAATGACGTCTTATAGATACGTAATCCATTGTTAACGTGGTCCTAGACCAGTGCGTCATTTACCTCCGTTGTGTCCGTGTGGAAACTGATTTGGTTTAGGTATGCTAAGGGCAATGTTTAGTTATAATGATAATAACAGTAACGCTATTTTCCTGGGTAATATTATTGCAGAAACCCTCGTCCAATTTCGTTTCATTTTCAAATGACATGCTCAAGCTAAATCATTTTTCGATTATATCTAGGTGTCGTCACGGGCGGATACAAGCGAAAACCTTTTCAGCATTATTAAATTATCCAATGGTTTCAAAGAAGATGTCTACCACTGGCCCCTACGAGAGGATTCTGCCACGTAAGGGTATGGTATCAGACAAAGACATATAAAATGATTTATTTCGCAAGCAACTAATAAGAATTATTCCTTAAATCTTAAATTTCAGAAATGTATTGCATTAACTAAATTCAATCTGTCGTATTGGAATAGTGCTCACTTGTGTACATAGTTAATGACGAATATATATATATATATATATATATATATATATATATATATATATATATATATATATATATATATATATATATATATATATATATATAACATGTGTTAATAATGCACCTATCTATATAAATACTAGCACAATGCATATTCATTCATTCATTCCATGTCTACCACTGGCCTCTACGAAAAGATTCTGCCACGTAAGGGCATGATATCAGAAAAAAGACATAAGAATTCCTCAGATTCGTTAGTCCGATGGTTTGATTCTGGCTACAATGGGGGTCAGGTGGTCGGGCATTGTGACTTGTCTCATTGTATGTCATCAAACTCCGATGTCGTGGATCGTTGATTAGACATTCAGCCACTGATTCACCATGGCCATACTTGGTTATTTAAAGGCAGTCTTAATTTACCGGGACTATTTCTGATAATGATTGTGACGTTATAGACATACACCCACCTAATCTAATAAAATATTGCAGAAAAGAGGACAAAAATACACCAAACAGGATGGTAATCCTGGTTCTTGTAATGCACACATCACATTATGTAATATCTATATATTTGATCAAATATAACATGGATTCGGAGTTCAGTCCGTTTGCCAATAAATGACACATATGTTATTGAATGTCTTTTACCCACCCAGATTTGAAGTTTATTTACCACAACACCGGACTAGTTTAAAAAAACTATGATGTTTTGAAATACGGCAATTGTCTTTTTACAGGGGTGGGGGAGCTCGGTGTTAGAGAGAATTACATAGTTTTGGTTGGGGGCGTCTCAATACTAATCCACTTGAAAACGGTGTGGCAAACGGACTGTTGTATCCGTTATATAGTCCTTCAAGATGCAAGGATAGCAATGCAATGACAGCCGTATTCACATAGCTTGAATATTGGTGAGTGCTGCGTTAACAATAAACAAATTGTGACAGCATAAGGATTAGATAGAGATACATACAGACGCCAAAAAGGTCATATGTTTGACCCTATTAAACTAAGTACTAAATGTCACAATATGTATGCCTACTTAAATAACTTTAGAAAACGCCTCCCCTTTTTCTTCATGCCTGCAGCGAATCTTTGAAGTGTTGCTTCATCTTCACTAAATGTCACACCATGTATGCCTACTTAAACAAGAATGAAATACTCACATCCCCCACCAATATGACATGTCGGGTGTGTGCAATACATTAGCTCCTGTGAACTATGTTCACTGGGCCTTTTAGGATATGGCCTAATTGCAGCACTAAAAAAGGTTATTACTGGTGTTGTTTTTCCATCTGCAGTTTATGATAGAATATGTTACTGAATTTGTAATGAGTAAGGATGAGACATGGACGAACAACTTCTTTATTACAATTAGGATCGATGGTTTCGGTGTAGGTTCTAACACCATTATCAAGCAAGTGAAGTACAGAGTATGGTTGACAAGATTATATATTGTTTATACAGTTGAGCAGGTTTAAGATCAGTTACACTGTTGTATTTGTAATGAGTTGTGTTTCTGTATGAAGTTAGTCAGTGAATGCAACAAATGAAGATGAAATATAGTACGGTTTTCAAGATCTGCTCCGGAAACGAGGACTACCGCCATTTTCAGTCTAAATCAAAGTCGTTGCCATGGAAACTCGAAAAATAATCTCTTCAAAAATCCCAAACTATCAAAAGGCACCAGTTCACCACTAGACCTATCTATGTGCCAAGTTTGGTTAAGAAATATGGTACGATTTTGAAAATTTGTGCGGAAACGAGGTCTCCCACCATTTTTAGTCTAAGCCAAAGTTGTTGCCATGGAAACTCGAAAAATGATTTCTTAAAAAATTCCAAACTTTCAAAAGGCACCAGTTCACCACAAGACCTATCAATGTGCCAAGTTTGGTGAAGAAATATGGTACGATTTTGAAGATCTGCTCCGGAAACGAGGACTACCGCCATTTTTGAGTCTAAACCAAAGTCGTAGCCATGGAAACTCGAAAACTAATTTCTTCAAAAATCCCAAACAATCAAAAGGCACCAGTTCACCACTAGACCCAGCTATGTGCCAAGTTTGGTGAAGAAATATGGTACGGTTTTCAACATCTGCTCCGGAAACGAGGACTACCGCCATTTTCAGTCTAAGCCAAAATCGTTGCCATGGAAATTTGAAAAATACTTTCGAAATGCGACGGACGGACGGACGCACCCATTCCTATATCCCCCTTCCACTTCGTGGCGGGTGATAATAACTTGAGAAAACTCCTCCCCATATTCTTCATGCCTGCAGCGAATCTTCGAGGTGTTGCTTCATCTTCACTAAATGTCACACTATGTATGCCTACTTAAATAACTTGTTAAAACGCCTCCCCATATTCTTCATGCCTGCAGCGAATCTTCGAAGTGTTGCTTCATCTTCACTAAATGTCACACTATGTATGCCTACTTAAATAAATTGAGAAAACGCCTCCCCATATTCTTCATGCCTGCAGCGAATCTACTGAGTGTTGCTTCATCTTCACTAAATGTCACACTACGTATGCCTACTTAAATAACTTGAGAAAACGCCTCCCCATATTCTTCATGCCTGCAGCGAATCTACTGAGTGTTGCTTCATCTTCGTTCTGTATGTTTTCCCTTTCAGTTTCTCTTACTTGTTGTGCTCTCAAATTACATTCTGCTGAAAATCGGTCATTTGTGACTTCATCTTCTACTCTCTTCCTTTCAGCAAGTATGCGCGTCACCTCCTCCCCAACATTTGCCAGTTGACGCTGCATTTGTACTTTCTCTTCACCATCAGCCTTCTGCAACTGCCCTACAAGTTTGTTCTTCTTTGCCCTCATCTCCATCTCACTCTGTACCAGCTCCCCCATGGTCCTCTCATTCTCTCTAACAAGTGAACGCTTTCTGGCATGTGTATCCCGCTCTCCCTTTAGTTGAAGTTTTAAATCTTCCATTTCTTTCACATTGGCTTCATGAAGCTTCTCATAATACTCCCTCTCGTTCTGCATGAACTCGTTCATCTCTTCGCGCAATTCTTCCTCAATTTCCCTTCTCATCTCTTTTTCTTTGTCAGCTCTATCTCTCTTGATTCTCTCTTGAATAATTTCTTCTGCCTCCTGGAACATTTTTGAGGTGAAATGTTTCCCTCCATTCTTATTCACTGTGTCTTTGATGCGTTGAATAAGGCATTTTACATCCGCTTCCTTTTCAAGTTCCTTTCCTCTGTTGTTGAAGGTGACATATCCTCCTCCAGCGTTACTTAAAATCTGTTTTAATTTGTCAGGTGCGCCTTGAATGTGTTTCTCCACTGTCTTAGGTTCGATCTGATCTCTTCCAGTGAAGACGATGACCATGTAGTTGAGCACTTGCTCCCCAAACATGTCGTCAATTTCGTCAAAGACTTTCCCTTCTTCCTCTGTGAACCTGTTGGTTAAGGATGAAACCAACAAAAAGGCATGTGGTCCTGGGGCCGAAAGTGCAATACATTTCTTAATTTCTGTATTAATAACCTCCTTCTTTGTGTTGGTGTCAAATAATCCGGGTGTATCAACAATCTGGACGGTGTTGCCAAATAAATCGCCATGAACAAACTGACATTTTTCGGTTACCGAGGTCATCGACGATCTTGAATCAAAAACCTTCTTATTCATTATTGTGTTTGCTGTTGCACTCTTTCCTGCTCCAGTTTTACCAAGTAGTACCAGTCTCAATTCGCCCAATTCTGAAAGACATAAAAATGCATTTATATATGGCGCACAAACATCATACAGCATATATCAAATATCATTGTTTAAGAATGAGACATATTACTAAACGCTGAGAAATACGACATGTCTGTGTTAGATTGTCTCATGGTAGCACTTTACAATCCAACTTTCATGAATATGTCATATGTACCTGTGTTATATTACGTTTGGTACATCCCCTGACTTCATGACGAAGTTGAATAAACAAAAAAAAGGTGCCTAGATATAAACCAAATAGTAATCGTGATAGTTATTATCCCCCGCCACAAAGTTCGCCCGTCTGTCCGTTCGCTTCTAAAAGGGGACACAATTGCTAATAAACTCTTTTTGTTAGAATTTCAAAATATAAATAGTTTATTCTCATGGAACCACCCACGGTGGTACAAGAGCGTGTTTTACAGACAAGTATATGTTCAACAAGAGTATGTTTATGTATTATTTCTAACGCATTTGTACTCATTGGAAATAAACTTGGACAACTTGCTTATTTCTGCTATTCTCGTTGCACACAGTAATTATTTGAGCTTATTAAGATTAGGCTATAAATAACATTTTACTGGTATATATCTACTACGAAGGCCTGACATATAACTAAATAGTGGAACTCGTCAGCAATAGCTGGTGAGTTACAAGGTGTAGAGGTTCCTTCTTCTCTCAGTATACCAAGCCAGCGGCCAGTCTCAGCAGGGTAAATTATGGTTACAGGTTTGAAAAGGAGTGGGAAAGATATTGTCCTTGGAAGGAGGAGGTATGTTTCAAAGGATGGGGCAGATTTAAGTAATTTGTAGCAAGTTCCTTTGTAACTATTGCACATAATTCTCCGTCATGATTATGTAAATTGATCTTTTAACGTTAAATCTACCTTAGAGACTAGCCACTTGCTGGTGTACAAATATGGGTCATTGAACACACATGACATGCCACAGTTATCAAGACTTTTCTGGACATTGTTCAACCAGCTATTATCCCTTGTATTTACAGAATTATTTGCTTTCTTAAAGCGAAGAACATATTGTGATAATTTTATAGGGTTATCACGAATTTCAGTTTGTGCCAATAGTTAGCTATGGTTATGTGAAGAGGAAATTGGCCAAATTCGTCATATACCATGAAGTTTGGGGTTTGAGAAATGGAATTTTACACACTAATATTACTGGTAATGTTCTCAAATGAGTTTGAAATTTGGTGTCTTGAATTCATTTTTTACGTTATGGCCCTTGCTCGGTGATTTTCAACTTAGTGCATACTGTGTGAATGGGGAAAAGTTTTCTAAAAAAAACCTACTGAAATTACATGAATGAAAGTTTGCATGCTTATCGAAGAGCTGCTTGTCAAAATTGAGTTCGAAAATTGGTGCCGTAAATTATTTCTTTTTACAAGTTTTCTCAGAAACTACTTACGTTACATGAATGAATCTTTACAAGCTTATCTAAGACAATGTTCGCAAAATTGGTCCCGTAAATTCTTTTTACCCAGAGTAACTTCCCTTGTTACATGTTTTTAGATTTGGAGCATACACAGTTGGGGCCCTTCATCCATGTTAATTTACAAAGTGCACAGTGTCTGCAATGGGGACAAGTTTTCTCAGAAACTCCTGAAGTTAGCTAATGATTCTTATGTAGACTGAGTTCGAGAATTGGTGCCATATTACTTTTTACAGAGAAGTTGCATTAGTGATAATGCTGTTTTCTTGTTTTTAATCAAATAATATAACATAATGTTAATCCACATTTGTTGGCCAACTATAATAGATGTACCAGGAATCTATACCATAGATATGTGACAATCATTTTTTTGTCCTAGCCCCATAGATTAGGAACATACCAATTCCTTGTCGTGAGGGTTTTGGAATAGGATTGACACGGGCCACCTTCTGCGTTGGCTTAGTGTAGACTTGATCGACCATCTGCAATGGAGGAGGTGGAGGAGCCTGAACAGGCAGGTGAGGAGATGTCCGTTGTGCATCTACAAGGAAATGAAGTGGAACTATACCTGTTAATTATGTCATTGTTAAACACTCCCCTGTTGTCAATAAAGTTGTTGCGCAGTGGAAAGAGACGAAAGAATATGGTTGAATTAACAACAACAGAAAATAAAGTGTTTCTCTCATACGACATAACTGTGCAACTGAGCAAGACGCCTAGATTTGACGATAATAGATACTAACACCAAGGAACTACATTAAAATCGGAGAATGTAAAAATCGAAATGTGAAAACTTTCCTATTCATAATGAAAATGTGTTGGTTACATACGTTGCCATAACATGCCTAAATAGCACTCATGACAGCAAAAAATGGACAACTAAAACTTTAGGATACTTTTTTCAGAAAATGTACCACAAAACGTCGCAAAGTGTGATAAATGTGGCTAGAATACTAAAGCCATGTCAAAGTGTTGTAAAAAGATACTGTCATCAAGAAAAGACTAATAACGTGTCCCCTTCTTGACATGACTATGCGAGTTAATACACAGACACTCAAACGCGTCTTTTATAAGACTTATATGACTGGAAAACGATATGAACTTTTGCACTAAATATACTACATGAAGTACGTGAAGTACGTGCAGCAGGCAAATTCCCCGAAGCATGGTGTGTTTGAGCAACGCACTATTTTGCGTTATGAATGTATCCTCAAAGAAAGTAAAACTTACTGTATTTGTTGCCTATTATATGTTCTGATATATACTTCAACAAGTACCTACTGTTAAGTGTTCTTGAGTCGAACACTTTTGTATTGTTTATCCGCAGAAAAGAATTCACAATTCACATCCATACATGTGAATACTACCTACTGCAAACTTATGTCCAAACATAAGATTAAAGCATGTTTGGCACTAAGTGGTAATGCTATGCAAAATGTTTGAAATCAAAATCGGTAATCAAAATAATCAACTGTCTTTGGGAAGGCTAAACGTGACTATTCTGGTAAGAGAGATGTTCATACCCCTTTTCACAATTCTCTTCCTCATCAATTTGGATGTTCCACATCCTTGACAACTGTCATTGGCGGCATCGTTGTTATGATAACAGGTTGCACATACCCACACTGAAATAAAAAAATAAATAACTTTCGTCACAAACACTCAAAGTCTGGACATCTTTGGTGACTGTTGCTCGCAAGAAGCGACCGATGTGCAAAATCATTCAAAAGGATTTACCACACGTGCATGTATATTGCATGAGCTCAAAGTTATCTCCCTTCATTGACAAGCTTGAAAGATAATTTTACTACTCAATCTTCTTTAAGCTATGAAGTTTAATATTTCAAGAACGTATTCGATATGCCTGTAAAACAATCGCACTGAAAATGCCATTTTGGCACAAAACTTTAGATAAAAGACAATTTAAACTACCATTATTTCGGCTTTATTCTGAATTATGTATTTCAATAATGCATTTATATGATTAGCATTCACGATGATAGATTCTCCAAAATTACAAAAGGATTAACTCAAAATCGCTAAAAATAACTCTCAGAATTGTCCTCAAGATCCAAGACACTCATTTCCTTATATCCTTATTTCATCTTATTTTAGATGCTGTAGTATCAATAGTTAAATTATTTAAACTTTAAATTTTGTTCTTAATTGATCAAATTCATTGTAAACAATTTCCATCCTTGTGCTGCCATTTACACTGCTAAAAATGTTATAAATCTTATGGTAGAGATCAATCAATCAATATAGTTTTTTAGGCTGCCTACTTTGGCTAATAGTAATAAACATCTCTAAGAACATAAAGGGACTCAAATCAATAATTAACAGTAAACATGATAAATCAATAACCGACCCGTGAGGATCCCGGGTAGAATAGGGCTTCAGCAACTCATGCTTGCCTTAAGAGGCGACTTTGCTTGTAAGAGGCGACAAACGGGATCGGGTGGCCAGGCCCGCTGATTTGGTTGATGTATGTCATCGTATCCCATTTGTGTGGATCGATGCTCATGATGTCACTCACTGGACTGTCTGGCCCAAACTCGATTATTTACAGACCGCCGTCATATAGCAGGAATGTTGCTGAGTTCGGCGTTAAACAACAAACAAGCAAACAAATTAATAACCAAAATTAAAATTTATTATCATTTCAGGGACAAATGTGTGTCAAAGGACTAAAATGGTGCGACTTTGTACTTTTGTATTCAGGTCAAGTCGGGAATGGAGAGACACTCATTCGTAAATAAATTACTGCTGGCGAGATATTTCAACCAACTGCTACAAAAGTACAACTTAAATAATCCCACAAATACTGATTTAACAAAGTTGAATTTTTCTTTTTGTCACCCCTACAGTGGGAATGTTTTATTGATTTCCAAGAATTGACTTCTGACGTCGATGTCCAAGAAAGACTTGGTTGAGTCGTCAAGCAGTACAAATATCCAACAGGTTGCGTTGAAAATTAAAATATTTCGATGGATTGATATTTCATAAATTCGTTTTGAAAACCCCTTAATATTTTAAGAAGATAATATTGAACTTGAGTAATATTTTTCAAATTTATCACTACCTGTGACCCCTTTTCCGAACCATCGAAGATCGCTGACCTATGTACCCATATGTAATTACTCATTCCACAAAGACTACCGTTTTGAAATCATTCTTTCCGTCATAGTAAAATGGAGATAGAACTACTAGGTTTTGAAATTTGATGTCGTCCCACTGTAGACAAGATACCTCCTTTTAGCTAAAGCACTGGGCTCCAAATTAAAAAAAGATATCTAATCTTCAGTGCGAATCCAAAATAAATAAAAACATACAAGCTAAATCTCCTAATTAGATCATGGCCGTTAGCTGTGATCTGACGGTAGTGTGTCATGGTGACCTCAACTCCTCGGGACGTCATATTTGGTTTAATTGCTTGATAGCCCGTTGATGTGTTCTTGAAATACTTGTCACTGGTATTGAAGGTCAAACTTACTCAAACATGCATTATGTTTGTGGTAACTCAAGAAGTGTTTACTATAGAATAATTAAATAAAGCGACAAAATCCTTTCCATAACTAATAGAAATCTCTGCATAAAGCAGAGTCGATTGTACGATTCCAACTATATCATGTGAGTGTGTTTAAGAATCGCTATCAAATACATGTAGTGCTGATACCAGGTGGCCGCGAAAAGGTGAGCGAATCATGCCCAACCTGTACCACCCGTCATAAACACATGCAAAGGCGAGTCAATTGTTCACCTGAAAAAAACCCCATGGGAACATATGGTACGAGTCAAAATAGGGAATTGCATCGGACATCATTTTTGTCACTGATGCGTCAAACTTGGAAATGTCCACATGTCTACCATAAAACGTTTTGAAAACTTGAATGTTGTGTAACATTGATCAAACAACTTCTTAGCAAGAGTCGTATGACGCTCTTTGAACTCTTGGTAGAAAGAGCATGCTCGATTGTATCTCAAAAGCTGTGAAATGTAAACAGGCTGGAGCTGCTGGAATAATGCTCGACATGAAGGGAAAGTTGACTTTGGAAAGTTGAAGTCATCCCTCTTGTCATACAGTCTTGTGGAGAGTGTTTTGTCACTCTGAATCGTTATGCGGTCTCACTGGTCTCCTTTGTTTCTAGTTCAGGTGGGTAGATCAGTGGAAGGGAATTGGCTATTTGATGGTTATTTAACGATATGAGTTCATCGACGTACCTGAAGCTTAAGTAAAACTTCTTGGCCAAATTACCTTGTTTTGACTTTGCCAATCCGAACAGAAATTCGGATTCATATGCATAAAGAAATAGACCAGCAAAGAAGGGGGCCACACTTGGTGCCAATGGGGATGCCTGCTTCTTGCCTAAATATCTTACCCCAAATTTTACGTGGATGATATCAATTTTACGAAGATTTCCAGCATTTCACATATTGTTTTCTCAGTAAACCTCGGATGGCATTTGTTTTCATAGAATTAGGTAATATCATCTTTTTCATAGAATTAGGTATTACCGTAATAAAATTAGGTAATATCATCCTTAGAGCGGACAAGGTTTTGAACGACACTCAAGGAATGTCAATGGCACTAGAATGATCATTCGTTAAGGTTGTTCTGCTTCTGCACTTAGGGTCATAATAGTGTTGCTTCAGACAATGCATTTATGTCTGGTTTGAGTTGAAGCAAATATAAGCGACAAAACCATTTCCATAATTTCCAAGTCCCGGGTTACATGGGTACAATGTGTGAAGCCCATTTCTGGTGTCCCCCGCCGTGATATTGCTGGAATAATGCTAAAAGCGGCGTAAAATCAAACTCACTCACTCACTCACTCACTCACTCACTCACTCACTCACTCACTCACTCACTTATTTTGTGTTTTGACAATGCTTGCAAAGTAAAAGATTTTTGTTATACATTGATTCATACAATTTTATTTCTCTGTTTACTTTTATTCGAAACTTGACATAATGTGCCTATGATAGGCATATTAAGCAGTCTTTCATGATGTAATAGTTGCACTATGTGTGCCTTATAAACATGATTTTGCTGTATCTGCGGATCATGACAAAATATCAGACATGTAACCAAATGTTCTAATCACATTAATACCGTCTGACGCAAAGTTTTATTTTGGGCGAAAAGACTCCCAAAAATGAAGCATTCTTGCAATCAGCCCGCTTCGTTTTGGTTTGGCATCATTTCCACTGGTGTCGTCTACAGTTGCATGTCTTTCGTTTTGAGCTACAAACAAACAAATATAAGATATATTAATGATTGCCAAGTCAATTGAACAGTAATTAGTAATTTACAATCTATTATTCGCACACGCACACGTATACTCACTCACTCACTCATACATTTACGACACAACATGATTATATTTACTTATTTAACCCTTACAGCTGAATTGTGGAATCAAAGATCACACAGAACATATCTCTGCCATGGTAAACGTTTACGAGATTTCTGATTATGCAACACTGCATTTAACACATACCAGCATCTTGCTCATGAGTGTCTCGGGAAATGATATTTTCTTGCACTTTTCGAGTTGTAGGCTTTGGCTTCAACTCCGGCCTTGGTCCTCTTTCGTGTTTGGATCGATTAGCACCTGGAAATAAGGTATATGTTAAAGAGTACTTGAGACTTACAAATGTATGACGCATGCCGTGCATAATGTCTAAAAGAATGAAGAGCACTTAATAGATTTTGTCAGTGGGTAGGAAACTAAAATATTCAAGAAAAAGTTTACCTTTTTTTGGTATTCTCTCATTGAACTTGTCCCCCGATTCAACAGTCTGTCTGGTATATATTTGTGTTTGGAGTTTGCGTGGCTCTATGATTACAACACAAAAAGAAGGTGATACGTTCTGTTATATAAAACAAATTTGACAACAAAATAATGAACATTTAAAATGAAATATACTCTTAAAAAAAAGAAACGCAAAACGGATATGTTTGGTCATCCGTTAAAGTGTCAGTGAAAATGTCCCGGATCAAAATGATCATAGCAAGGACATGCAAACCATTGGTCGGGAAACACGTACGGTTCGGAAAAACGCACCAGTGCACATGCAGAAGCACTATGAACGGTATTAAATTGCAGGGTTTTTGATTGCCTGGCATCTGCGTCAATAGAACAGTGACAATTCAACAACATGCCAAGATTAACAGAAGTGCAAAGAAACAACGTCATAGGCCGCTTGCAGGCAGGGGAATCCCGATCAGCTGTAGCTAGGGCTTTCAATGTAGCGCCCAGCACCATCACAAGGATATGGGATTGGTTTCAACAGCATTGGTCAACACGTGATCGGCCAAGGTCGGGACGACCAAGAGTAACCATCCCTGCCCAACATCGCTACATCCGACTGCGCCACCTACGTGAAAGGACGACCACAGCCACCTCAACCGCATCCCATGAGTGGACAACATCGTCAACAACGACTGCATTGGTGTCGTCAACTGCGATGAGGAGATGTCTGGTCCAGCGACGAGTCAAGATTTCTCCTCCGTAGACGGGATCGAAGAGCACGGGTCTACAGACGTTGGGAAGAACGTTACGCCGGAAACTGCGTACAGGTAGTGGACAGATTTGATGTGGGTAGCGTTATGATGCGAGCGGTAATCTCTCATCATGGCAGGGCAGGTATGGTCCATATACAGGGCAATCTTACGGCTCAACGATACATCAACGATATTCTCCTACCACACGTCCTCCCAATTGCAGCCAACGGCAACGCTGTATTCCATCAGGACAACGCTCAACCGCATACAGCACGGATCACAAGAACCTGCCTACACAACAACGTTGATGTTCTCCCCTGGCCCTCCAGATCCCCGGATTTGAACCCGATAAAGCACCCGTGGGATGAATTGGATAGACGGCTACGCCGACGTCAACCACAACCCCTGACGTTGCAGCAGTTGGGTTTTGCGTAGCAGGCCGATTGGGCTACCATTCCCCAGGAATACTCGTTTCTTCCATTATGCAGGAGATGTCAGGCCGCTATCGATACTATTGATAGTAGTTGACCTTCACCTTGGACTTTTCCTACCGGTACCGATAACTGAGATGACTACAATCACTAAGTGTTCTCTCCACAACATTTTGGCTCAATACCTTGTACGGTTCCTTGTATAAATGTATTTTTCTACCTCACACAAATCCGGCTTTGCGTTTCTTTTTTTGAAGAGTATATGATGTTCATATCTCATTTCATATATTTGTAGAAATATTACTCGTACCCATTAAATAGTTGCACAATTTCACTAAATACTAAACTAAAAATAATTATATTGAATATTAATATAATATTAAACACGAAGGTGAGAATCCATGCCCAGAACAGTATAATGTACGAAAGTGTACATACTACATCCTGTTGTAATACATGTCTGTTGAGTGTTTGACGTGAGTTCAGCTTGCATCTCTCTTCTTATCTGTTCTTCAAGTTCCTGTCTCATGGTACTTTTCAACTCTTCTTTAATATTTCGGTTGCGCTCATCTTGTTGATTCCGATCTTCTTCCTCTTTCTTCTGTTGACACCTTGTGGCGTACTCGAGCATGGCCACTGTATAGACCATGTTGTTGTTCTGCTTCTGGAGATTCTTCAACATGGATAGAAGTTTATCGGCATCCTCCGCTCTGGATTCCCACGTTCCTGTGTTGTCAAAGCCGATGTATCTTCCCCCACAAGCATCAAGGACACTCTTCAGCTCTGGTGTACTCTCTTGTAGGTATTTCTCCAGAGTGATGCCATCATACTTGAGATCATCCAGTCTTGTAAAGATGAGGACGGTAAATCGGAACATATCTTCACCAAACGTTTCTCTAAGAGTGTCTATCATTGTCCTCACTTCTGGCGTAAATCGACCTATTCGAACTACAAGCCCAAAAGCATCAGGGCCTGGTGTGAAGGTGTACACCGATTCTGCAAGTCTCATTTTATTTGCTTTTTTATCTTGTCCTTCTGCAAACAGCCCAGTCGTTTCAATAATGCTTATGTTAGAGTCATGCTTTGTCACTGTATGAACATTGTCCGCCAAAAGCGAAGATGTTGGCTGCGTAATGGATGTCCAACGAAATGATTCTATCACTGCAGTTTTGCCGCAACCATGACGACCAAGCAGAACCATTTTCACCTGGTTGTTCATGCTCCTGCAAGAAAATGTAACAATGTCAGTATTGTTTTTCGCTCGACGGATGAAGCTTCAGAAATTTATTCCTTCCTTAATGTGGATTTCTTCAAATTAATTCATTGTTACCGAATACGTTTTAAGCGATGATATTGCTAAAAAATGTAACATGTAGCAATTAGTCTAAAACAACTTACCACATGAAATCAAGATGTCTGCTTCACACTACCGCCATGCCAGTGTGAGATCCCTCATTGAAACTTGACATAAGATACACAGCGTAAAGGTACAGGCAAATGGACAATACAATCTTCTTAATTACTAGTCCATTGTATGATGTAGATAACTAGAAAACTTGATTGCAAGGACTTTCCAAATGGTAGCACACCCATCATTTCTAGAAGGCCCCAGATGTCACACAATACTACCACGCATTTCCAGTGTGAAACCATTACCGACCTACTGCAACACCACATCATATTAAAAGTACCTCACCTCTAGCTTATACAATTGTGAATATACAGCCATCTCCATTCTTAAGACATCACTTTCAGTTAAATGACATCATTTCTGGCTTGGGAAACACAAGCCCAATGCAGATAATTATTTAACCTGTTCCTCTGGCTGTTTGAAATACATTTATACCCACTTCCGGTTGAATGATATCCGCCCTAGTTTCTGAACATACAGTAAACTACGGTTATAACGAACACGCTTATAACGAACTGACGGATATAACGAACTTACTTTTTAGTCCCGACTATTTGCTGTGGTTATGCTGTATATATGCTTATAACGAACTACGGTTATAACGAACTAAAATAGGAGTCCCTTTGAGTTCGTTATAACCGTACTTTACTGTACCTGTTATTTGCAGTGTGGTTTTAAAACAGAAGGTTTCAATGCGAATGCATCTAAATTCATTGATGAGAACGATATATGCACATCCGGTTTAATGACTTAACTTCCAGTCCTTGAAAGCCCATGTCATAGACAGTGTGATTTTAAAGCAAAACGCCAATGCCTCTAGGTACATTGATAAGAACGATATAAGTACACCTTGTTTAATTACTTTACTTCCGGTTTGGGAAGACACATGTCTCATGGAAGACATCTTTTAAAAAGAGTCCCAATTACATTAATAAGAACGTTACAGGCATTATTGTTTTGATAACTTCCCATCCGGTTTGTAAAAATAACATTTGAATGGAGTACAGCCTCATAACAGAAAATAGGATGTCCCACGTTTAAATGTAACAACGAAAATATAGCATATACTATTCATTGAAAATAGGTCACCGTGATACTGATATCAGAACAGTCATTGTTATCAAATTAATATAACCACGGCATACACAAGACGTAATAATACTGCAGAAGAAAGCCATTTGAGTAAACACGGCAACAATATTTCATGAATGACCTTCACTGTGACCTTTACCTTTCACTGAAGTCACTCACTGTCATTTCAGATTTGGAATGACATGTAGCAAGTTTCAATGTCCTACAGTGAATGCTTCATGTGTTATCGTTTAAACGCCCCTTTCTTAAGGATATTACCTTGAGGATGACTGATCAGTGTATTAAAAACATACCAAGGGCCCTAAAGGGAGATATGCATATTGTAATATCATTGGGTTAAAAATCAATGTGCGGCGGCGGCGGCGGCGGCGGCGGCGGTGGCAGCGGGAGCAGCCAGATTCAGGAAAAGCCCTATGAAAGTATCACCATTTAGATTGGTTTGAATCCTGGTAAGTTGGGGATGTAGTTATCGGCAAAAGACAAGGTACAATATGGTCCACTTTGTGTAGCATATCCTAAATTTGGTGAAACTTGCAAATGTTTGGGAACACATAAACCATCAAATATGTCATTATACGATTTCACATTGGAAACACGATGCCTAGAGAATGCAGTGACACAAACCATTAGTCATGTGTACAATTGCGTGGTCGGTGAGATACACAACGATATAATATGGTCCTTTGACGCACCGGTGTCACATTAGATTAATTCATTGTTTTGTCAAAAAAATTAAAAATAAACCACCAACTTACTAGCAGAAAAGACGTTAGGAACCAAAGCATATTTTTACGATACAAAGGCACCATGCATCTAATGTTTTTTATGACAGTTGAGCCCATGACAAAACATCAATAAGGTAAATAAAATGCATACGCAAGAGAAGTGTGCATAACCTCTATGTATGTCATGTAATAGATCATACCGTTAAATTCGAACATATTCGTAACTGACCCGTGAAGGTCAGGGTAGAGAAAAGGTCTTCAGCAACCTATGCTTGTCGTAAAAGGCGGCTAACGGGATCGGGTAGTCAGGCTCGCTGACTTGGCTGATGCATGTCATCGTATTGCTTCAGACCATGTACATGCTATTCAATTTTCCCTGAAGGATACATTTACTTACAACTAAGCTTTTAGGTCATTCCAGAAATTATGTGGTAGACATGATATGACTCGTCGCTTGTCAACATAATAGGCGAGGCTGTCCAGTGCTACGACCGTTAGAGAGAGTTCTCACACCTCCCTACTTTTTGGAGCTGACTTTAGTAACGAAAAGTGTTTAGTATGGATGCTACCGGTAGAGCATCACCTGGGGTCATCACTGATTTCCAGTGATATATATTCGTAAAGGTTTCGTCACTTTGCCTTTACCGCCTTATGGAATCTGTTTAGGCAGATATTTGACACTGATTATTATCTGGCGTTGTGTTAAATTATTTAAAATTTTGATTTCGTTTATTATTGTGTAACAAATAATTTATATGCATGCTTTACGTATCGTTTATGTGTGAATATCTGCCATATATATATCAGTTTCACCTGTTGATTTGGGGAATTGTAAAGTAGTCAAAGTATGTGTATATGAGCGCATTATTTAGGAATGGATCGTTATCTAAAACATATACACACTGTCCTGAATACATGACAAAAAAACACAGAAGTATACATGTGGTACTCACTTTTGTCTTGAAGATTCCTCCAAATGTCTGTTCCCGGTTCGTCTGACAGAAATCTAACTTTAATAAAACAGAAATGTGTCACCTCTTCACAATTTTATAGACTTATTGTGATTAACAGAACGAATGTTTCCACATTTCATATCCTTTTTGAAAAGCAAGATGTAAATATCAACCACAAAACCTTTTCTTAAATCATAAGATATCAGCGCTCAAAGCAAAGTCCATTGCACGATTCAGACTATGTCATGTCAATGCGATGATAAAGTGTAATGATATATAAAATATCAACGTTTACACTTTATCTGATGATACTAAAAATTTGTCAGTGCACTAATGAAGACGTAACATGTACGTCAATCTAAACTCAACAATAGTTAAATCAAAGAGGTAGAGATATGAGCGTCTACCCACCCAGCTTGCACACAGTGAGACCAGGTAACGCTTTGCGCGGCCCCAGCCTAACTCTTTCATATATATTACCTCTCGAACCTGTTCGTGCACATTACAAATCCCATATATGGTATGCCATTCCTGGAAAACACGATTTCTACTGAATCACATCTTTGTATACAGCCTTAGTCATAACGCATGCTGTGTATTGACTGCAAAGATGATTCAGTGATTCAAATTTTATTTTTCAGTGGTGTGAATAATCAAAATAGGTACTATATAATATATCGGACGGTTATGAGTTCAGTTGGAGAAGTATTTGAAATACATACATTATGGTAATAGTAATGTAATAGTAATGTTAACCTAAAAGTTCATGTCAACACTGGTAGCACCTGCATACAAAATCATGTATTTAGCAAAGAAAGTGAAGGAAATTAGTTATACACATATCTGTTGACGTACCTCAAGTTACATCATGAATTATATGGCGACCGTTTGCAACTGCAGGTACATGTATTTTGCTGAATGTTTTATTTCAACAACACAGTTGCACAAACAAACGAATAATTTCTAGGACGAAGCTTAGCACAACACAAAGTTGTGATAATCAATATTACGTTCATGTGAAAACATAGCTTATGATTCTGTATTGCTTTAGCTATAGAATATACAGACAGGTAACCGTTAACAATATGATGTTTCTAATACATGTCACCTGGACGATTTTCTTGTTGTGCAGTACGTATCCATAACATGTCTACTCTACATCTGATTGTACTGTGAGCTCATATATCGTGTTCAAATAAGTCCCCAACACTCCTTTTCGGGTAAAAACAAGCTACTTCGCTGAATCGGGTAGTAGATAACGCTGATGTTGCCCTAGTCTTCGTGTATCTTTTATAGAAATGAAACACTTTATCTCACAGACAATATCTTGCGAATGCACAACGATGCTTAATTTCTACAATATAGTTGCTATACACCAATATCTGCATTTAATCTTGTGTGAAGTAGCCTGTACAGGCTGACAGCAGGCTGAAAGCTGAAGGAAATAGAAGACCATCGTTAGGTAACCCCCCATTTCTTTTCTTAACAGCATATATAAAGTGTTCCAATGAACATGGCATCTGAAACAACCGGTTTTCGGTGTGTGTGTGTGTGTTGCTGCTTGTATTGTCCGGACTGCCTATTTATAGTGCTAGCACACTTAGATACCACGTCTTTTTGTATGGCGCGGCAGAAGATAGAACCCCTCAACTGCTGTGCTAAACCAACTCCATCCTTTGTGAATACACGTCAATACAACACTAAACCTGTTGGCAATGCACGCAACCATGCTTGACTGCTACACGTCTGTGGACTTTCCAGGAAAATGAAAATCCCCAGGAATGATGTTTGAACGACATTCACCGTGTCGGTCCTGTCGGCAGAGTCTAAATACTTGACAGGGAGCTGTTGATGAATGACCTAGTTTGAATGGACAATATGATTTTTAGATATGCGTGTACGTTCATACATTTTTGTTGATGCATATGATTGTGATATGTGACACTGCATTATGGTTTCCAAATCGGTAACTAGTAGAAAATACATTCTGTGCACAGTTTATTAAATGTTTATTAATGATTGATTGAAAGCATTTTTAAACATATGTAACCACTTGGGTTATCCATATATAATTTTGCCCCAACATCAAACATCTATCATAATATAAGCTGGAAGAAAAGGTTTATCGACTGTAGGGGACTTAAAGTTAAAAAATTACCCTATAAGTGTGACTATGGATATGCATGGAAAGAACAAGGTGTTGAATCGATCCCTGATTTTGTACGGGGTACAGACAAAGTTGTCTTGATTATCATGGTCAGATGTGGATAGACAATTTACATGAATATTCCAAGTTAAGATATTAGGCCTACCGCTCTTTCAAATTGCCTTCTTCATTTGAATTATATTTATTACATGTACATGTTAGTGAGTGAGTGAGTGAGTCAGCTGGGTTTAACACTGCTTTGGACAGTATATGTGGGAGGAAAGCCAGATATGTTGCAGGCCTCAGACATTTGCCACTTTGATGAAACCAACGAGCAGGGGTATGGTGTTGACGAACTCAGAAACATAATCGGATTCCTGGCGTGCCCAAGGGAAATAAAGTGCATTGAATAGGTGTTTTGAATGTTGAATGCCGAGCAGTGATGTGTCGTTTTACCGATTATGATCCTATCCTATATAAATGGGGATAGTTTACTTGCTGTTGCGACACCGATTGGGTTGATTTTCTTCTAATATTCGTTTATCAGGATAGGGTACACCATTGCTGTACACTCGATCTCATTCTACCAACTTTCCGACACCGTGGATTGGTCATTCGTTGTACTACTGAATACGATGCACAGCTAATCCCAGACGAATAATTTCGTAGAAGACTCCAAGACAGCTCCTTTCCGATTTCAAGATGGACCCGACACGCCTAACAAGGAAATGACTTGAACAAAGAGATCTCGAGAGAAATGATATTTTTTCCCTACTTACATCAAACGCTATGTTCCATGAATTCTGGGATTTCCGGAATAGAACTGTTCCCCGGTAGACTTTGCTTGTCGTAGTGCCAAACCCGGGGATTCAACCTGCATAATCCGCAGTGTATAACAACATCGGAGTTTGAGGGCTTGTTCCCAGACATGTGTCAAGTCGACTAGAAGCATTGACATATATACGAAAAGCATTAACTGCACGTGTACCGCGTCACACACCACCTTAGTAGTTTGTTCAATGGAAATGGTATCTTTCGAATAACACTTAAGTCCTACTTTCACAAAACGTGGTAGTTTCATAAATTTGTTTGAATGGATCGATTGTAACGTTCTGTGACTTTTATGACAGCGTGCCATCGAGTCAGCGTGGGGGCGGTCGGGTAGCCTAGTCGTTAAAGCGTTAGCTTGTCACGCCGAAGACCCGGGTCCGATTCCCGACATGGGTACATTGTGTGAAGCCCATTTCTGGTGTCCCCCGCCGTGATATTGCTGGAATATTGCCAAAAGCGGCGTAAAACCATACTCACTCACTCACTCGAGTCAGCGTGCGCCCAGGGCATGGATCGTTGAACATGTCTTCAGTCGTTTATTTGTCAGGTCCAGACCCAATTATTTAAAACCGTCGTGATATCGTGAAATATAGCTCAATGTGGCGTTTTACTGCATTCACTCTCTCATATATATGAGTAACAAAACGAGTTTTCACAGTTTATAACATAATACCGTGGGTGGTAGCTATAGTAAACTTAGATAATTTGGTACCAATCCGACTATTTCACAATTGTAAGTACAAATTGGCTCACTCATAGCTTGGTAGGGTCTGGGTAATATTTCGGACTCTATCTAGACGTTGCAATCACCGCTTTGTGTCAACCTTGGATGCTACAATGAACAAGATTATATTATTACACCCCGTCTTTCAAGGCTGAGGTGACGTGCGTTTGCCGGGAAAGGTGAAATTATTAGGAAATGTATTATAACGGGCGTTTCAACGTGTATCTCAAGAGCGATAGCTGTTTATATAAACGTATGTTTTTAAAAACAAGGGTTGTATTGAAAAAGCTATCGAACGCGGACACGTATATATAATAAATTTATGTGTATTGCCCACGTGGAATAGCTCACTGGATATTTAAGTAAGACACTAACGGACAATGTTGATGATGTATCTCGTGATTTGAATGTTTACTTCTGACAAATCTTACATTCCTAGAACTACTGCGCAATCAGCTGAGAAAACATTGCAATAAATCTGAAAGTCCTGACTTTCTGTAAACTAGATAATTTGTTACACTGTCCGATGTAGGTCGATGGACCCGGAGACTGAATCAATCGGAATTATCAAAGCCACACTAGTAGTTTTCTCAGTCGAATGGAGGCTAATCTCATAAGGTCATGGTGATATGGAGATTGCGTCCTGTTTTCAGCTAAACAACCCTGAAGAGGTCATAGAATTACGGCGACTTATCAGAGGTGACATCATCAGCTGTTAGTCAAGTCATTTTTTTTCAGTCAAGATTTTAGAAGAATAGGTTGCCAAATCAAAGAATCGTGTTAAAATTATCATGGTTAAATAAAAACAAATCCTAATCCATGGAGCCCGCATCCTTTTACGTATGTCTGGTCGGATAAGACATAAATGTATTTAGAAATACACACGTGATTTCAATAATCCTTTGAACGATATTCCGAATGTTATGTCGCTATCGCCTACAATACAATACTAGTGTTAATATAAATGATTCAAATGTTGTTAAATATTCAAAGCTAAGAAACTACATTTGATAATCACATTTGAAAATTATACTGTACACGCAAAATCAAACAACACTACTTTAACATATACTACTAACGGAAAAAAGTAAAAAAGAAGTTTCAAACAAAGTGGTGTAAAGGTTATGTTTATTGAAAATAACAACATAATATTTGGTGCATGCTTTATCATGGCAATCTCATTGACAAAACCCATACCTGGTAAAAGGAACGGGAGAGACACGCCCTAAAAGAGCGGGGTGTAACAACTCAGTTAACAGTGTAAATATCGGGTGTGACCACCGTTAATGTTGATACAGCCAAGGCAGCGGCGCCGCTTTGAAGACACCGGTTGATTGAAAACAGCCTTGGGGAGGTTGTTCAAAAGATTGGCCAAGTGAGCTAGCGTTACCGGCTAGTTCTGATCCAATCGTTGGCGCCTTTTCACCCAATCCCAGACATGTTCTGTGGAGGAGAAATCTGGAGAAATACCAGCAGTGCTGCCTCAAAACGTATGTTACAACACGTGCAACGAGTCGGCCAGCTTTAGCGTGCTGCAATATAGCGTGACGTCTTTCAATTTGCAAAAGAATTCAGCAAGACCTGACATTGCGTAAGCATCATTTACGGTTAACTTAAAGTATTTTGGGACAGTACTGCGTGATATAGCACTGATCCCAAATTTGGTGGTTTATATATAAATTATATAGGCAAACTTACCTACGTTCTGGTCCTAGGACTAACAGCAGTAAAGGATTCTTGTCTTTTGAAATTTAAATTCACG